GCAGACTGACACGTGCGGGACTATAAATTCGGGTTTGGGAGACGACTGTCAGGTAGTCCAGATTCTCAGCCTACAACTCTTTTTTTTCCTAAGTCACTGTGAATTACCATCTTTAAGTGTTTAGGAAAAGGACATAGGAGGAGGTAGACTACTTTTCGAAAACAGGCCTACATATAATGCTCACAGCTGCTGACACGTGTGCGCAATGTAAATTTAAAAGTTTGTTGTTTGTGGGACTCGTCATGCATATATATCAAAAAAATGATAATAAACGGAACAATCCCAACGGGACCTTTGCACTTTGAGTGCTCAGACCCTAAAAACGGAGTTGATGTAAAAGAAACAGCGCGCTTCATCCGAAAGATGGGTTCCGTTCTGAAACTATAATTTGGTAACTTTAACAAAGTAAAGAGCGCAAAGAAAAAAAATACACTTACCTATCCACGCAATAAAGATGAAGAAAAACATAGTGTTTTTACCAAGCGTACAAAACCCTCAGAAGGAAACTAAAAACGAAGCAGATCCACCTGAACAGCTTTTTCTAAATGTGCGCACACTCGTGCGTTTCTTCCTTTCGTTTTCTTTCGTCAGGCGCAGAAAGACTACGCCCGTGGAGGAAAATGCAGAGTTATTTTGAAGAAGTTAACAGTTTCCTCACTTTCTGGTTTGCACAAGCAAAATTCTAAGTATTGCACAGAAGGTTGTAGTTCATACGTTATATTACACGCAATAAAAATGTCTTGCACTTGCTGTGATTTTGCGAAATAAATCCGCCCGAGCATCTAAACACATGAGTGACACCATACTTAGAATAAGAAAGTGTTTGAACAGCGAGTCAAGTTCATTGATTTATCTTTGTGTTCGGTGAAAACTAAAGAAATAGTTGGGTTTAAGCAGTGTGTATGTGTTGGGGGGGGCGGGGGGCGGGGGGCGTGGATTCTGTTATTTCGCATTTCATGCGCGTCCTGTAAGACCGTTAGACGCTCAGTCGAATAACCCTGTGTTACAATAAACCCTCCTCACTTCACATAGCGTCAATATTACAGTTTTTTCCGAATGCCTAAACCCAAACTGTGATTCCTGTAGCACAATTCCTAAAACTATTCAGACTTATAGCAAAACCACTCACTGAGTTTGCAAAACCAAAAGCACAAAAACTGCTTTGCACTCAGTTTGCAATTT